AAGTGCCACCAGAGAGCTCAAGTCTAATGAGAAACCAGTTTCTTGAGGAACACGAGCAATCAGTTTCTAAGTCCTTACCGACTAATTACGCATACCTCGGCTTTTCCTCTAATGACTTCAATCTAACAAGAGATGGTAATTAATAATTATACTCTTCTTACAACACAATATCTTACTTTTATAGATTGTATGACTTTCTTTATTGGGGGATTTTGAGAAATACCCTAAATCTTAATAGAAATTTGAAAAATATACTTAATCTTATAAAGTTGGAAAAATATACATTTTTGTTCCGTAAAAGTACGTAAATACCCTTATACATATTTAACATACTAAATAACTTAAAAATAATTTAAAACTATTAAATTTAAATTCAAAATTTAGTTTTTTTATTTAGTTTTTTTAATTTTTAAAAACATTTTTTTAGTAAATTAATATATAAAAGCTAAATTATTTATTAAAATAAAAAAATAAAGATTGACTTATTTTACACAATCGACTTATATTTTTGTTCGTTGATTTTTTTACTTTGTTGATTTATTTATATAGTTGATTTATTTTTTTTTATATTTGTCGACTTAATATTCAGCTTCGTCGACTTATTTTAAATTATTGACTTATATTTTGTTTGATTGATTTTTTACTTTATCGACTTGTTTAACCATTGACTTATTTTATTTTTTTGTCGACTTAATATTCAACTTCATCGACTTATTTTAAACTGTTGACATATATTATCGTTTGATTGATTTTTTACTTTGTTGACTTATTTAACCATTGACTTAATTTTCACTTTTGTCGACTTAATTTTCAGTTTCGTCGACTTATTTTAAATTGTTGACTTATATTTTTTTTGCTTGACATTTTAAGTTATCGAYTTATTTAAACCACTGACTTATTTTTTTAATTCGTTGACTTAAAATTTTGTTTCATCGATTTATTTTAAACCATCGATTTATATTTTGATTGATTGACTTTTTACCTTGTCGACTTATTTAAACCATTGATTTAATTTTCTGTTCATCGACTTGACATATTATTATATAAATTACTTAAATTGTAAATTGTAAAATTAATTAAAATCAATTCCTTAGATATTTTATCAAGAACTTTTTTTATTAGATTATTAGATTACTAATAGATGGTTATATATTAGTTTTAAATATTATAAATCAATTTTTAAATAAAAACTAGAAAATTTAAATTATTTTCTTTTCTAACTTAATCTTGTTAAATAAAGATATAATTGTCATTTCAACTCATAAAATATGATATTTTTCAAAGTGTAACAAATTTAGTATAGATTTCAAATTTCCAATAAGATTTGGAGTATACAAGCCAATTTTCTCTTCTTTATTTGTAGAAGAACAAGAGGGACAATTAAGCTATATATTGGATTATCTGAACACGGAAGATAATGTCATGAACTTAAGCGCTAACTACAAAGACATTGATCGGTATGCAATGACTTTGATCTAAGTAACAAACAAAATTTGAAATCTTTTTTTTTTTTGGTTTCATCATATTATGATGTATTTTTCAATTCAGAAGGAGGCATTATGAATCTTTGGATAGTCAAGCCCTAAATTTACCCGAGAGTCCATTTTCTTCCCTTACCGGGAAGGAGATTTCGACGGTTACATAAAAAGAGATCAGTGATAGACAAAAAGGGAGAAATAAGAAGATAGGAGCATAAAGGTTAAAAGAAATTCCCAAAGATATAGTCAAATATTCATCCCACGGAAAAAAGAGATTTGTCTTTTTCTTACATTATCTTCTTTGTGGGTTCTAGATTGTTTGGTTAGGAGACTTTAGGGTTTTTAGCTAAACAAAGATAAAGGGAGGGAGACACACACAAGTTAAAGGAATCGTTTGCTTCAACTACAATATGAGACGAGGAGTTTAAGAAAATATAAAGTACACATGGGTTATAATAATACTAATTGAAACGTTTATGATGGTTTGCTTTTTCTATCTTGTTTTCAACTTTTGTTATGCAAGGCTGGATCATATTTCATTGTATCATATAGTAATCCGTCGACTTTTAAGAACAAGGTTTAGAAAAGTGTGTGGACGCATATTTTAGCAAATATCGCCATCAATGATGAATCCTCTCTATATGTAAAAATTTCTTGTGAATATTGAACACATATATATTGTGAATATAAGAGATCATTCATAACACGGATGAGAAATGGAGAAATATAAAACTATACTAAACTAGTATTCTAAAATGCTATTATCATGGTTATTATGAAACGATCAAAATGTTGCCATTTTTGTTGAAAACAACATGGTTATATCTTACAAGTAGTGTAAGGAAGTATATTCGACGGAGAGAAGGAACAACAAATCAAAACAACATGGTTATATCTTACAAGTAGTGTGTACTTGTACCATACTTGTTGTTACTGGTTTTTCTTTTGTCATCTAGAGTTTTTATTTAATTAAACTGATGACGTACAAACCATAGCTCAAAGTGTTACCGAGAAACTTAATAAGATATAACTCATAAAACAAAACCAGCAGAACACAAGTGTTCCCCGAAAACAATATCATATACGAAGGAACCCTATTGGTCAACAAAACCATAAGTAGCAAAAAAAAAATAAAAAATAAAGCAACTACAAGGACCCCAAAACTGCAAAACATGCAGGCCAAAAACCGACTAAAACTCGAACCTTAAGCAACCTATTCAATTTTTGGAGATCCTTGGACAAAAACATACCAGAACTAAACACAAACTAACCAACAATACAAGTTTCTTTCTACAGAGTGAAAGTCTATCTTTAAAATCAAATATTCTCAAGTGTTGTTACTTGTTACGAATTACCGAACAGAAAAAATAGTAACTAATGTTAAGCCGAATAAAAAGAATATTATTCATAAGAAATTAAATGCTGACGCGACCCACCATTTAATATTCGTCTACTCGTTGTTCCACAAAAGCATGCGATGAACATGTAATCCGACGCGCGGTTTACGCGTTTAAATTTCCACTCCTAACAATAGGCCTATAGCCCACCAAACTGTTGTGCACGCGCTTAAAGATGCGCGTGACAATTTTTTGCCCCTTGCCCACGAAATAAACTTCGTTGATGAAATAATCCTCCACGTGCCTACGGACTCTTTACCATTTTAGTCCTCCACCATTTTGCTTATTACAGATTTTGTTTCTACGGCGTACAGTTGAGTAGTTTAATTTGTTCCTAGTCCCTATAGTTTTAGCTTGCTACTAATTTAATACGTATATTTCAATTTGATTATCAGTTGGTACATAATATTATGTATACTAAAATGAGAGCCAAAAACTACTTAGAAGCTTCTTAACATTTACACACAAAAAAAAAAATACTTAAAAACTATTTACTATTTAGTAAGTAACATAATATCAGCTTGTTATTTTTTTCTAGAACTAAAGTACTTAGAGTTTTAATTTCTATTTTTTCAAAAATAATCTATCATAACTTAATAAATATGTATCTGT